TATGACCATGCAGGTCATGGTGGAATCGCGTACCGGTATGTAAACACATGCACGCTGTTGTTGCAATGGAGTTGGTTATATAAGCTTTACCAACCATCTTCTGTTGCCGGACGTGTGGTTCTCGGGCAACCGAGCAACGTTGGGACAAACCCGAAATCCTAAACCGATGTTGTTCCCAAATAAACCGATGTTGTTGTCGGCCAGTTGGGATCGAAGCGTATTATAAGTGTCTTCTTGTGTGATCCGGCCCAGGAAATCTACACTACTGGATCGTCGACTTGGGGATCCTAATCTTCTCGCACAACCCATAATTTAGACTAGTTGCTTGATTTCGGGATCCTTTTCCGTCTTCGGGCCCTAAACCCTAAACCCCGGACCCCTAGACCCCTAGACCCCTGAACCCCTGACCCCTAGACCCCTGAAGCCCTAAACCCTCTAAGCCCTAAACCCTAAACCGCTAACCCCCCCCCCCCCCCCCGAAGCGTTAGTTTCGGGATGGCGAAGTCGGGGCCCTGAAGTGGGGAGAGGCTCGGCTCTTGTGGCGACCTCCGACGCCAAGGTGGGAGGGTGCCTACGGTTTAGGGTTTGGGTAATGCTTCGTAGCCGGTAACCTTTATTTTTTTGGGGGTGATTTTCCTTATCCTACAGGGTTTCGGGTTTAGAGTTTAGGTAATGCTTCGGAGCTGAGAAGGTAGCCTGTAAGCTTGGGGGGGGGGGGGTTATGATAATCCTACCATAATTGCAAAAGGTTAGCCTTGTTTGGGCTCGGGTACTCAGCCCCCAAGAATCATACGGAAGCCTCAATAATTCCCAAGACTATTTTGGGGTTCCTTGTTATAACTATAGTATGATATCCCCAAAATGCTTTATTCTTACCATTGAGGCTTACACAGTACGGTACACCCCACTCTTCCCAAAGCTTCGTAATGCCATTTTCAAAGCCGGCAGAAGGAAACCTGCACTAAAACCAAAAGCCCAACTCCAAACCCCAAGCCCGCAGCCCCTGAACCCTAGAAAGTTTAGCTCCGGAACCGAAGCCCCGAAAGACAGAAGAGAAGCCGCTCAAGCTCTTCCCGTGAAGGCCTCGGAGTCCAGCGGCGACGACAACAATACCTACCTAGGCACATGGTTTAGGGGTTTAGGGGTGCGGGGCTTGAGGGTTGACACGGGGTTGTGGATGTAGGATCATGGTGTTTGGGGATTATGAGTTTTTGAAGTGTAGCGGTGTTATGGAATTGGTGGCTTCGTGTTTAGGGCTTACAGCCTGAAGGGGGGTAGGGAGTCGATGTGCCAGGGTGGCGGGGTCTAGTGACTAGTGAGTATTCAGAATTTTGGCCTACCGCCCGACTTTGCAAGGTCAGCACTCGTCTGAGCCTCAGGAAAAGTAGTTTTTAGCTTTAGGGCCAAGGGTAGCTTCAGCTTGTGTTGGGCTTCGGTCTTCAATCAACACGAATGCCCAACTGCCTGTCTCTAAACAGCCCTCAACCCCTCGCGGTAAAGAAACATCCTGAAGCCCCCGACGAGGAAACCAATACCAAAATCCTCACCCCTGCCCCACAACCCCCAGACTAAATTCAATAACTCTGGACCCTAGCCCCTAAACCCTAAGCCTCAAAACCTAAACCCTAAACCCAGACTTAGGGTCACCCAGTTTAAAGACAACAAGCCCTAAATCAGACTTTGCAGAGGAGACGGCCTGGCGTTGACCTCTGCTTTCGTGCTGCCGGGCCGTCGATTCGGTCATTTCAGGGCCCGGAGATCTTGCAGAGTGTTCAGAGTACAGTAGAGCATAGCATCGGATAAAAATTTTCTAGTTTGATATAATGATCAGAATTTGGGATTTAATGAGGCCTGCAGTTTACCGTTTCAGTGGCGTTTCTTTCCACAGAAGTCGAGCACCGATCGTGGCGTGCACAGCAAGACTAGCCCGGTTTCGGGCCCGAAAGCCCCGACCACTCACCCCGAAATAATGCAATGTAATGTAATATAGGGCCGTAATAAGTAGAATAGCGTTTTGAGGCCCATTATACTATAAGTGTAATCAGGAACCCCCAGAATAGTATTGGTCCAAAACCCAACTTTTCAACCATTGGGCTCTCATGAGGTAGTCTTATTCTGAAAGTTTGAACTTTCAAGCCCAGGGGTTTTGGGGAAGTAGTATTGGTAATTAAATTTACGCCCCGACATTAATGCAATGTAATGTAATCGCACACCCTAAACCCTAAATCCTAAGCCCTAAACCCTAGTCGAACAGCCTGACCTTCCAAGCCGGAGAGCCGATATCCAGCCTGGAAGCAGCCCCGAACTACGCAGGCAGCATGAAGCAAGACAGAATTTTGGGGCCTAAATCATTACCTAAACTGTTCTGATTTCCTTATAAAAAATTGTAGAAGAATGGGCTCCAAAGCCATGCCCTATTCTAATTATCAAGGCCCCTACATTAATGCTGTTTGCGATTGTCGAAATGCCGTATTTCATCGACACTTTCTCGAGCTTGTGGGGTGCTCGGGTTGGGTTGCTGCAGAGTGTTACAGTGTCAGCACTCCAATGCAGAAGTTCAAGAATATCATGCCACTTGGACGACTAACGTTTCATCGTCCAAAGGGCCGAGCAGTCAAAGGCTTCCTCGCACTGCCAAGGTATGGGGCTTACACCGTCATGCTGAAGCCACGCTCCAAGCTGGGATGACAACTTGGGGGGGCTTTCTACTCTTGGACGCGATCTCTGAAGAACTCACATGCTTGCTTTATTGGCATTGTTGTCGTTGCAGTTAAGTCTTCGATACGTCGATGCCCTCAACACAGTTCCTTCGCAATGGTAAGACTGTGTGTCTTCAACCTCTTCATACCAGAACGAGCGTTTGGGCATCCTTAAGCTTTATCTGAAGAGTAATGACCGCGCCGATAGGAAGAGCCACGGCTCTTCACGGGGATGATTGTCGATTCATTCCTTCATTCCTTCCTTCATTGATTAAGTCTTTCCTTCAGTCTTCCGTGCAGAAAGTCCAGGATCCAAGAGTCCAGCTCGGGGTAGGTGGGGAACCAATTACTTTCAGACTTGGATCGTCTATTTTGCCACCATCCTGTTGAGAGCCTTGTGCTTCCCTTCTTGACTGAGTTTGCCAAACCCAGAAAACTCGTAGATCTCGCGCCGGGAGGCACTATGTCCCAGAGAAGGAGGAAGCGCTGGCCATGCCAACGCTGCATCTTGGCCCAGGGACTGAGACAGAAACATCGGTTAGCTCCAGACCTCACGGTGATCTCGTTGTCATAAGCCCTGGGTATCCTGCAATCGAACTCAGACTTAGCACACCCGGCCGAGCACAACGTGAAGCCCCAGCGCAGCCCAGAGCAGCCCCGAATGCCTCTTCCCCGGAGAAACTTCCCAGCACCGCTTCCGAACCGGAATGGATCCCAGCTGACAAACCTCTGAACAGATGCAGGAGTACTCGGTGTCCTACAAAGTGCTCCGAAGTGTTTCTGTCAGGTTTGGCTTCATCGGGGTGCTTGTTATGCTGGGTGGCTGGCCGATCATGGTACTTCTGCATCTGCTGGGATGGGAGGCCTGGGAGTTGAACCGGCTGTGGTAGTATAGGAGCCTTAATAGTTACCGCTACTATTTTGTGGTGTTCCTTATTATAGTTATAGTATAATGGGACCCAAAGCCCTATTCTGATTATTAAGGCCCCTATATTACATCATTCGAAATTGCATGGTGAACTAACAGCCCCAGATTGCCAACGTCGGGTGAGCGTTTGCGCTGCTCCGAGTGGTAGGCGGTCGAGTTGTGCTGCAGAGTTCTAGCTCGCCGGCCAGCCATGGTCGCAGCTGACACACAAAGAAAGGCCTAGCACGAAGGAAAGTGCATATCGCCGCGAAACAAGTGCATGCAATGCTGCCAATGTTGATGGTAATGATGCGGTAGAGATGATGGCTGCCTTGGCGATAACGGCAGTAGCCTCAACAGCCAGACCACCAACAGCAAGAGCAGAAGCAAAAACAACAGCACGTCGTGGAGGACAATCATGGCACAAAGAACAATCACGATAATGGAGGCATCGACAACGACGACGATGACGGCGCGATCATGACGACGACAGCAGCAGCCATTCATGTTCCGGATAGTACTGGCAAGAAGTAAGCAGTGTCATTCATACATTGTCAGGCCATTCTGTCACCAAGTACAAACATCTATGTGCTGTCAAAGAACTGCACATCGGCCATGCGGATGGACTACCACGAGAATCAATATTCATCAACGTCTTCACCCTCATCATGGCCCGCATGACGCCGTCATCATCGTTTTTGAACCTGCATCTGCACCCACAAAATCCAGTCTCCTTGTTGCTCAATGTCAATGCCACATCTACATCTCCATGCCAATCCTGATGTCTGGCTGCATCGGTTTTGGCATCTGGCCATTCGTGCTGCCTCGTCAGTAGCTAGAGTACCCTAAGTGTCCATGTACTCATATAGTATATACATTGGCCTTAATGTAGTCCCTATATAGGTACTTTGGGGTTCATGTATCTCTATATGGGTACATGGACCCTTAGGGGTAGCTATTGCTTGTCATTAGCTACCAAAGGGCAGAGCATCCGGTGGCATACAGGAAGCAGCTCTAGAAGCCCTGACCCTATAACCCCAAAATTTCTCGGGTTCATAGTATACAGAACCATACTACAGACCCAGGGTTTCTCAATCAGATTCCTACCGTAAACCAGCTACTCTTGGAGTCCATAGCTTCTTCGAAGCCTTTTAGCCCGAAATCGCAAGCTTTCAGGTCTCGGATTCACATCCCTCAAGCTTAGACCGTAAAGAAACGAACACTCCCCACATAAGTTCAGCCTGAACCTCTAGACCTGAACTGCAAACCGGTAAGTTTCATTTCCCTAAATCCTATAAACCCGTAAAGCCCTCGTTCACTCGTCCTTCACCCCGAAGAATCAGATTTCTTTCTACACCCTAAACACCAACACCAAACCACATAGGCGCTCTGCAATGCCCTTACAGCTGAACGCCTTCAAGCCCAGCGACGCGGCACTTTCGGGCGTGCAGGCGTTTGCATTGCCCTCGCGCCCGGTGTGGGGATCCTTGGTGGTGAATGCCACTGGGCCGACCTTAAAGCGATACACCGGGTGCAATATACCGTAGAGTTCTGGAACATGTGTAGTATCAGTCCTTTTTGTTCCGTTGCTATGGACGCAGCGAATTACATAATTAGTGGGGAGCTAGAGCAGTTGGCTACTAGGGTGCCTGCCAGGGTTTGCATGGAGGACAGCACGTTAAAGTCCACAAGCTGAAGTTTCGAGTTTAGAGATTGGCAGATAGAGTTTTTGGATGTGCATTCAAGGGTCGTAAGGATGAAACTCTCTGAGGCTCAGTTTGGGTATCCCAGAAAATCTCAGGTACCTCATGACCTCGGAGTTACATAGATTTTTTGTTACGGAAGCCCGCAATCATGGTGTGGCTGTGCATTGCCCAGAAAGCCATACTGGCCTCGGTCAAGAGCTTTGACCTTCGTTCCAGTGAAGACGCAGATGACGATGACGGCGATCAGAACCCTAAGTCGGCGCCAGTTGGTTATAAAATACGGCAATGGTGGTGTGCTTGCTGCTACTGCTTCTGATAAGACGGACGCTTGTGCACGGTCTTTTACGTCTGTTGGTAGTCGTCGTGGTGATGGTTTGGATGGTGGTCGTCGTGGTGGTGATGTTTTGGATGGTGGCCGTTGGTGGTGTGGTGATGGTGGTGGTGGTGGTGGTGGTGGTGGTGGTGGTGGTGGCGGTGGTGGTGGTGGCGGTGGGGCTGGTGCTGGTTCTGGTGCTGGTGTGCTGGTGTGCTGGTGTGCTGGTGTGCTGGTGTGCTGGTGTGCTGGTGTGCTGGTGTGCTGGTGTGCTGGTGTGCTGGTGTGCTGGTGTGCTGGTGTGCTGGTGCTGGTGCTGGTGCTGGTGCTGGTGCAGGTGGCGGCGGCATGATTGACAGACAGAGGTCATGTGCGGGTACTTTCAGAATGATGAGTTTCTTGCATTTCTTGATGCACACTAGAACTTTGCAGTCCAGAAACTCATGGGACGAGGCACTGATTGGCACCAATCTCAGCGATGTGCTCTGGGCGTACGCGGTGCAGCTGACGACACCTTTGACGGTGCCCTGTCGTTGTGGTTTCAGTGGGCAGCACTCCCAGCCCTGAACCCATCACCTGGGCTTCGAGGCTTTGAGCTGCCGATCTTGGGAGCTACTTATGTTTCAGCCCGGAGCTTTGGATTGGCTCCAAATCTTCCCCCTCGCCTAGCCCCCGTACCCGTCGTTGGTATAAAAGTCCCGTAGATCCTCGAACTTCCGATCCGACTGTACCTCAGGCCACGCTGGGACTGTCCCTTACCGTGCCCTTCGGCATGATCTCAGATGTGCTGCTCCGCGGGAAGGACGGGGATAGTCGAGGCGAAGAAGACGGGGATGTTGGAAAAGGCGGTTTTCGTTGGGGTGAAAGGTTCAGAGGTTGAGGGTCACAAGTCTCGGACTAGGTAGGCCTTTGGACATTTTGCATTTTCCCTTATTTGGCTTACTAGGACCCTATATACGAATATTCTTCAGAGGCTTTAAAGGGCCAACCTAGCGGAGGGTTGGTTACAGATGCAGGAGTTTCGCATGAAAGTTGTCGTGCGGCTCGGTTGCAGGGTCTGATTTGTATTTTGGTTTGGCTTAGCTTGTTTGCAGTAGGCGTTCAGACCCATTAACTTTTAAAGCCTTCATCATCCCCACCTATGTAATCCCTAAACTCCCCGACCCTATCATGCCAAATCTGTGCCAGGAGTTTGACGCCCAGTACATCTGTGGCTCTCTGCTTGTGGCTGGGCAAGCAAAGCCTGAAGCCCCTCACCCATTCGGGAACCACGGCTTCCGACACTTGCTCCGTCTAAGGTTTTAGTGTATTGAGTTAAATTACGGAGACCGTTCCGGTCGTAGCAGATTCCTTAAACACATTCCTCCTAAGTTCTTACTGGCTGCTGGAACTCCACAGCTGATGCATCCTCACCGGCAGGATGTTCAAGTTCATTTATGCAAGGTTTAGCACAAATGGTTCCTTAAGTTTACGCAAGGTGCAGGGCTCCATCAAGAGGTCTACTGTCTACACCCAAGGCTGTGAGATCCTTTCAGATCACGAAAACTTATTGTTCGGGGTTCAGGGATGGTTATCGGTTATCTAAGTATTCAGGCCCGTATAGTGCGGCGCTGAGTTGACTTGCTGCAATAATGGGTAACACTATCCCTACATTGCCCTATGGTCCGTGTCTCGTTGTAGTACAACATACACCCAAAGCCATGTTTAAAATCACTAAACGTCCCCGTGGCTCAGGTCCTCCTGGGATTTTTCCTGGTCAGCGTGGCGCAGCAAGCAGCTTGCCCGATATAGGATTGGGCTTGGGATGGAGGTACTTTCGAGCTCGGGTGTCTATGGAGCTAAGCGCGAAGATAATCAACACCTCCAAGCCCTCAACACAAACTCGTACACCCGAAACCCAAAGCCACTTTACCCCAAACCCTAAGCCCTGAACCCTGTAAACAGAGTAAACCTCAACCCCTGTCGCGCTGAATCCGAAGGCTGTTGCGCCCTAAACCCACAACACCGAACAAGTTGGCACCCCAAGCCTCAAGCGAAAGGTATGGTCGCGCCTTTGGATCACAGAGGAGTCCAGCTGCTCAGCGCGAGGCCCAGAAGTGCATCGGTATAACAATTAACACCGAGGTAGTATTGGTAATTGTTTAGGCCCTCATGTTATGAAGTTTGGGCAAGTGGAGAGTCAGAGAGAGAGAGACAGAGTGAGAGTGCGAGTGAGAGTGAGAGTGAGCTTGAGAGTGAGAGAGTGAGGAGGGAGGAAGGATGCTCATACTGTAGCCTGGACATGGTTACCGCGGGCTCGCACGGCCAGGAGAAAAATGGCAAGGCAATAGCAGAATCAAGAATCAAGCTAAATATCACAGACACCTATGATAAAGTGAAGGCAGTAAAGATTTAAAGGCCCTAAACCCCTTAAACCCTAAACCCTCACCCCAAGGACAGCGAGGATGAGTGATACGTGGGAAGCTGGCCTCGCTAAAGCCTGCTCGCCGAGCATCTGCAGCCGCAGACTGTGCAGTTTCGGATTGTTAACGTTTTGGGCTTTAGTTTGGGTTTAGGGTTTAGCAGGGGTTGAGGGTTTGCTTATGGTTGGCTGAAGAGTTTAGAGCTTTGGGGAGTTTCAGACCGTGATCAGTTCTCTTCAAAACCCCTGAACCCTTGAAGTCCTAAGTTCTCCACAGCCTCGAGTCTGGTAGGTTGGCCCATGGAGTCCACAGTTTGCCATCCATATGGTTCAGTGGATGTTAAGTCTTTCGGAGTCTACAATTTGTGCGGTTAGCATTGTGTTCTCACTTATATAAAGTAAGCTAAAGTCATCTTGTTTAGGGCTCATGTTTGGCTTGTATACGGTGCTAGATCTTCCGGATCTGTTGGGCTTGCCCGGTGGATCCGGTGGATCAGATGGTTAGTCCCCAGACCTTCCACATCCCTTAATTCCTTAAGACATATTAGGGATCCTACTATAATTTACGGTATATCCCTTAAGGAGTTTTGGAGGTTCAGGGTCTGCTGTTGCCTGCGGATGCCCAAACGGCACATGGTGTACATCTCGGTCTCGGTGATATCGAGTCAGAGGACCCGGCAGCAAAGGGACCGGCCAGAGAGGAGCCCCCAAGCGAGGGACGGTTGTAGTATAGTTTAGCTTAGTTTGGTACGGTATAGCATAATTAGTATAGTTTAGTCTGGTATAGTATAGTGTAGTATAGTTTGGTATAGTCTAGTCACTAGTCCAGTCCAGGGTCCCTTCAGTTTTCCCTCGGCTTTGTCGGACGCTGATCCATTCGGACCCCCTCGGGTTCTCCTGGAGCCTCGGAGCTAGCAGCTTTGGCTCGCTCCCCTCCTGGCTCTCGCGGCAAGTGGGCACAGGAGCTGCCAGTAGATCTCCGGGCTCGGGCTCTAAACGGAGCTTCTCGCGGCGGAGCGTCGAAGGCAGACCGGCTTCTCTGCAGTTTCTCTGCCAAGCCGTCACGACCGCGCAAGCCGGCGGCAAAAGATGCGAGTTGTAGAGTGTAGGCTTTGATTGCGCTTGACACTTCCTGTCGCAATTGCTCTCATTGTAGTTGGCCTTGTTGGTGTACTCCTGTACTACCATTTCTTTACAGCTGTTGATCGTAGTCATTTTTCGTAGAAGTGCTCTCGTGGTGATTCTCTGCCTCGCCGCTCGCGGTGGTCTGGGGCCGTCCTGGTTCGGATTGAGATGCTACAACTGTAGCTTTGACTGGGCCGTGTTGAAGATCTAATGAGCTATGTCCGAATTGCTGCAGTGCCCAGAGACTTCAAAACCCCTTGATTCCGGGTTTTGGGGATCCTATCATAATTTAAGTATTACTTGAACGGTTTTGCAGCCTCTGGGTACATACGCATACCACAAATTTAGATGGTTCACATTGACGGCCCCACCTTCGTATCGTCTCGCTTAATGAGGAGCTTTTGTAGGGTTAGGCCTTAGCGGAGCATGCTTCAAACGATGAGCGCCAACACAGCTCCAGTGATTCTCGATGGCTCCATCAGTCGAACCCGAAACCACTAGTGCTCAGCCGAAGCCGTAAACTGTAGACTGTAAAAACCTAAACCTCAAAACCCCTTATCCCCTAAGAAGAGTATTGTATAGATCCTACACCCGAAACCAGTCCAAAGAGCTCTCTGCTCAAACCCTAAACCCTTAAAGCCTAAATCCCCAAACTTATCCCCAAAAGCCTGAAGTCTAGACCCCAAAGTCCAGGTCCCTTCTCAGTGTAGCTACAGCAGAACATATACCGCATACCCCAACACTGAATGCAAATGAAAGAGGCCATTTTGGTAATAGCAACCCAGAGCCCAAACCCTACTGAAAGTGGCCTGTCTGCAGTCAAGTTACCGGCCGGTAGACAAGAGGCCACTAAACAAAACGAAGCCTACTCAAGTGCCCTAAACCTTAAAACCCTAATCCCCTAAACCCCCAACCCCTACACCCTAAACCCTGAACCCTGAGACCCAAGCCAAATTATTAAGGCTTATGGTAGGAGCACCCTTATCGTAGGAGCACCTGGCTCCTTGGCATCTTCGCTCTGTCAGGCCGCTTTCGAGTCAAGGGCGTCGGGATGGAGGGGTCTTAGGGGTGCTATGACTTAGGGGTTCTGTGAAGCTATAATAAGCGTTCTATCATTTCAGGATTTAGGGTTCAGGGGCTGGGGATTTAGGGATTCAGGTGTGGTGATCCGGTTTGGGTTTCGAGATGTAGGGTTGGAGATTTCGGGTTGGGTTTTAGGTTAGTGCTTCGGTTGATGATATAAATCCTGGATTACCCATAATAGGGAATATACCATAATAGGGAATATACCATACTTCCCATTGTCTAGGGGCATGATGCTAATGCAGGATTTAGATCATCAACCGTGGCACTTGGGATTTTGTTGATGACCCTGACCCCCTTTTCATGTATAGTGTGCATGAGTGGAGCTTGTGCAAGTGAGGGTCTACTTGTTTGCAGCGGATGGCTTCAGAAAGGTTGGAGCCATGATCGGCAGAAGCCAACGGCGACATGCCATGATCGGTAGAAGCCAGCGGCAACGTGCCATGATCGGCAGAAGCCACATACCACGAGCTTAGGCTATCGTCATGCTGTGCACAGAAGCGCATGTCGACTTTGTGGTTTGCAGTAAAAAGAATTCGGATCGCGTGCGCCATGGTTCGTTGAGCCTACTCCTGTGTGAAACACGTTTCTGAGATCTAGACGACGACGTCCCGTAAGGGGAAGTTTGTATTCACAGGTTATGAGCGCCCAACCTCCAGTGCCGTCTCCCCCGACTTTGGAAGGAGAGGCCAACGGGCCGCAGTATGAGGGCATGCGAGAAGAGCGCCAGATGGCAACCGGACAGAGCCCACAAGTGGGCCAGGCCAATGAGCCCCAATTGATGGTCAATGGTGTCGATCCTCCACGGGTGAGTGCTGCTCGCGAAGAACCGCCCCCGGCGGGACCGCGGGTAGCAGGCTCGCCCCTGGAGGGCCGCACGTTGACTGATGAAGCAGCTGGAAGCGCGGTGGCACCTGGTTTTTTCCGCGGACAAGTGGGCATGGACACGGCAATAAGCCCATCGAGCAGTGCTGGCTATGAATCACTACCTACGAGACCGTCTTCACCTATGAGACCCCAGAGTGGGCAACCGCACGAGGCAGAGAGGACGGTGGCTATGGAGTATTCTGTGCAGAATGCTGGTGGTCAACCGGTGGTTCGTTGGGTGGCAAGACTGACGGAGTTTTTGAGATCCGAGCAACGGGTTTCAGGGTAGGTTTATGGAAGGGTTAGGGTTAGGTGTAACAACAGGCCAGCCTTCAGGATTCACCACACTCCCTGAGCAGCAAGCCTACTCTACAAACCACCAGCAGCAGCTCGTGACGCACCAAGCAGCAGCCCAGTCCCCGGCGATGACAGTGGCTAGACCTTGCGACTTGCAAAACCACAGTTTGAGGCAGCGACCGCCACCACCACCTTTGCCGATAAGGATGCCATCGCCAATGGGACGAAGATCTCCTTCTCCACCTCCACCTCCTCCGGTGCAGGCGCCGAGTTTACCGTGGCTTTCCAGGAATCCTTCATCACCACCGGCACCTCCACAATGGGAACATCATCTCTTCACGCCGGAGCAAGCCACTCACTTAGAACGGCATCAGCATGAGGCCCCCTGGCTGTACTCTCGAAGGGGCCCTCCTAGCTCAACGTCGTCTGAAGAGGTTCAAGCTGAAGTCCAAAGGCAACTTCGAAGTTTCGTAGAACGGCATGATGGTGAGGCTAGGCGTCTTCGTGATGAGGTCCAACAGCTACAAGGGGAACGAGATCGTCTTGCAAGGCAGCTAGCACGTGATCAGACAGGAGAGGGTCACCAAGAACGTGATCGGGCTGTGGAGGGTCACCAAGGGCATGATCGGACTGTGGAGGGTCACCAAGGACGTGATCGGACTACAGAGGATCGTGAAGTATACGTGATCGGACTACAGAGGGTCACCAACTACGTGATCGGGCTTCTGAAGGTCATGAGGGGCGCGTGCGGTCTGCTGAAGGCCGTTACCAAAGACGAGATCGCTCTACCGAAGGCCTTCACCAAGGACGTGATCGGGCCTTAGAGGGTCACCAAGGACGTGATCGGGCTTCAAAGGGTCACCAAGGACGTGATCGGGCTTCAGAGGGTCACCAAGGACGTGATCGGGCTTCAGAGGGTCACCAAGGACGTGATCGGGCTTCAGAGGGTCACCAAGGACGAGATCGGGCTTCAGAGGGTCGTTATGTGTCCAGTCATGATGTTGGTCGGGATGCCGTACCTGGTCACAGTCAGACAACAGAGTACTTTGACTTGGCAGCAGGCGATAGAGCTCTACGTGATCAACAGCGACTTCCTTCCGAACTTGATCCACCAAAGGAGCAGGAGCAAGATGGCGCGAAGGCTAGTGGAAACCCCTCTACGATGGAGCTGTTGGGGTTCATCGCTACGGGGATGAAGCAGCTACAAGAGGTCCAGTTGAAGCAGATGGAGAAGAAGTCGGACATGCCGGAAATTGTCAAACCGGGCATTTCTTCTCTCCCAGCTCTGAGCTCGCCGGGCCAAGACACGAGTCCTGTCGACATACAGGATTGGTTGGAGGAAGTCGGAGGTGTGATGACTGACTTGAGCGACTCCAGCTGGGAGTGGTGGCTTCAGACCCGGGACTTGGCGGAAGAACACTACCGCAAGTGGGTAAAGTCTACGCCCATGGAGAAGATCTCTTTGTCGATGCCGAAGAGTCCGAGTCTGGAGCAGGGCCGTTATGGGAGAGTGAATGCGAGAGCGGCGGGAATGGTGCTTGCCGCGCTCCCTCAGGAGGTGAAGTCTGAGATGATCACGAAGAAGGTGACGGGAAGCACGGCAAGTTTGATCTTCAGGCTCCTCACGGCGTACCGGCCAGGAGGGGAAAAGGAGAAGACCTTGTTGCTGCAGCAGCTCACGGCTCCCGAACCGGCCAGTACGGCAGAAGAAGCGGTACAGGGACTACGACGCTGGGGCCGGTGGCATTCTCGTGCAAAGGACCTCACAGTGACGGTTCCGGATCCGGTCTTGATGATAAAGGGCCTTGCGGTGATCGTCTCTGGAGTTCTGAGCCGACATCAAGATGTGTGGCTGCGCACTTCAATGGTGCGTCAGAAGCTGCAACTAGACAGCAATCCCAGCGAGGAGTCTACCTTGGACTACCATAAGCACCTGCAGGCCGAAATGGAGTTGTTGAGTACTGCGGCAGCCCCTTCAGCGAAGGCTACTCCAAAGATAAGGAGCGCTACTACGACGGCAGAGCAGTCAACTACGGCGCCTACGGCAACCTCCTCTACTACCACACCGGCGGCAAGGCCCAAGGCGTCACCTACCAAGGACAAGGCGTGCAAGTGGTTCGCTAAGACCGAAGGAGGCTGCAGACGTGGGGCGGACTGTCAGTTCGCCCACGAGTGGGGTACTACGGCGAAGGCGGGCAGATGCCTGGTATGCTCAAGCACGGGCCATCTCAAGAAGGACTGCCCGGTGAAGGACAAGGGTTCGGGTTTGCGTCAACCCAGACCAAAGTCTGAGCCCTCACCGCAAACCTCAGCTACTACCACTGCAGCAGCGAGGGCTTTGGCTACCACACCAGAGATCACTTCTTCTTCGACTACGATGCCTCCTCAGCCTGCGGCGGAACCTTCGCCTACTACGTCACCGACTTCATCACAATCCCGGGTTCCCCCAGAAGAGGAGCGCCCAGGAGAGTTGAAGCAGATGTTGGCGGATGCGTCCAAAATGTTGAAAACCATGATGGCCAACAACCCTTCCGGAACCCCGGCGGGATCAGCGACAACTCCGTCGTTTGAGTCTATCCAGAGGCAGTTAGATGAGCTGCGGCTGAAGTCTATGACCGTGGACAGCGCGTCAAGGGGAGCTTCGAGTTCTACGGGTTCCTCCTCACGGCCGCCTACGTATGAAGAGATACAAAGGCAGCTGGACTCCCTGAGGTTGAAGGTTATGAAGGTCACTAGTGCCGACGGCGAAGATAAGCAAGGAACCCTGTTGGATTCGGGATCTACGCATGTGCTTCGACCAGCCAAGGATGAAGAAGAATGCCGTGACTGTCAGCAGGTCTTTGTTACGCTGGCGGGAGATGAACAGCGGCTTCTCAACCAGACAACGAGTGGAAGCATCATCGTGGAGCCCAGCAAGTCCAAGGATGTTCAGTCCATAATCCCGTTTGGGAAGGTCATCGAATGCTTGGGGTGTACCTTGAAATGGTCTAAGGGCGGCTTTTACCTCCACCACCCCAAGTTCGGCCGCATAAAGACCCATGTTCGAGCAGGATGTCCAGAGATCACTGATGCAGGTCAGGCGGCAGCGATCATCGCCGAGCTTGAGATGAAGAAGGTTGCGGAGCTCAAGGAAAAGACACGGGAGCTTCAGGATCAGCTCACTGCGATTCGGATGCTCGAGGACCGCAAGGCTGATTGGAGAGTGTTGTTGGGAAGGTATTCGGAACAAGGGTGCGCGGCTGATGGTTTGCAGGCCTTGTTCACCTCCCCGGCGTTTGTCAGAATGCCCAACGAGTTGAGGACCCTGGTTGCCCCGGAGATGAATTGCTCACCCGATGCGGGCTGGGACTACCTTAAGCTCCTACCAGTGCCCAGACGGATGAGGAAGCGACTCCTTAGGTCGAGCTGTTGGGTGTTGAACATGTTTGCGGGCGGCAAGAAAGGAGACCCCATCCAAACCTTTGCTGGAGCTACTTCGTCAAGACATAGGGGCGAGGTTGTGGTGATCAACGTCGATGTAACTTTGTCGCCGGGGTGGAACCTTCAAGGGGAGCTCTATAAGGCCCTCCTGTGGGGAGCTATGAACTCGAAGGTGAAGGCGGTGATCTCCTCGCCCCCTGTCGGAGGTTTGTCCATGGACGGTGTGACGGAATCCAATGGGAGCCCATCGCATAGATACATGAAGGGCTTTGAGATGCTGTCCAAGACGCTCTTTCTGTACCTGGTGGCCTATACAGCCTCCGAGGGTGCGGAACCCTCGTTGTCAGTTGGTGCGCCAGTTGACAGTCGCGGATTTTGGGAGCTTGAGATGGTTAAGGGCTTCCAGGAAGTGGTGAAGGAGATTGGAGTTAAGGAGTGCGTGCTTGAGCAAGGTGCTTTTGGACATCCTGAGAAAGCTCCTGTTAGGCTTCTTCACAATGTTGGTTTGGAAGTTCATCATGGGCTGAAGGACTCGCGTCCCGACCACCTACGTCCCCCTCGAGATCCTGACTTTCCTGATCGAAGATGGTGTCCAGGCCTACGACGTGCGATACTTGAAGGCATTAAGGCTTTGGGCCTTGGGGATGGTGCAGAGGGCTATGAGTCGGAGGGCGAGTGCGAACTTCGGAAATTGACCAAAGAGCAGGGTTGGCGACTCCACATTCAACGAGACCATGTTCCTTTCAGAAAGGACTGCGAGCAGTGTGTGATGACTTTGGGAACGGGGCGCCCGCACAGGCGAGTTCACCAAAAAAGCTGCTATGTGCTGAGTGTTGATGTGGGTGGTCCTTTGAGATTCCCCAGCAAGGATGCACACGGCTCTGGGTACAAGTACTTCCTGGCGGCATCCTACACCAAGCCCCGCTTCTCAGACTTAGAGCCGCTTGATGAGGACCCGCCACCCGACCTTGCCGATGAGGACTACGACTTCTCTACGCTTGAGGACGGGGAGGTCGACCCTGGAGGGATAGCGGACGACGAGTTCAGTGCACAAGGCGGTGTATGGGATGAAGATGAGCTTGCCGAGTACGAAACTTCGGAGGCAGACGTCAATGAAGACCCGGCAATGAAGAAGGTTCACGGCACCAATGGACTGTGGGACGATGATGATTTGGCGGCCATCGAACAGGAAAAGGATGCGAAGGCCACGGAAGATGAGGAGGGGAACGCGGAGGCTCAGACGGACTTTCTCTACTACTTCAAGCCTTTGAAGGGGAAGAGCGGGAAGCATGTCCTCAAGGCGATACAAGAAGTGGTTCTACAACTACGAATGGAAAACCTTCCTGTGGTTCGGATTCATGCGGACCGGGCCCACGAGTTGAGATCGGAAAGCCTTCGTCAGTGGACCTTAGACAACAATATCCTCCTCACGCGGACGGAGGGCCAGTCCCCCCAGTCCAATGGGACGGCTGAGCGAGCCGTTCGTTTCCTAAAGGGGCGGGCACGTTCGCTACTACGATCTGCTGGACTACATCCACAACACTGGGCCACCGCCATGGCTACAGCAGCACATCGTCAACGTGAAGATTGTTTGCGACCAGAAGCCACGAGTGTACCCCCTGCGTATGGCACGAAGGTGGCGATAAAGAAAAAATACTACGGCCAAGGCGGAAAACTTGATCTACTACCTCGATGGGTTAAGGGAACCTACATGGGGCCGGTGTGGGACGTTAACCAGGGCTCAGCAATACTCGAGGATGAGACCAACCGCTTCACGGTGTCTACGCATGTGAGGGCAAAACTTGTGGACCCAGGCACTATCGACCAGGAGCCGGAGTTGAAGGTTGAACCACCGCCCAGGAGAAGATTGTCAGCAAAGACTACGGTGGACAAGGACGGGTTGAAGATAAAGGCGATGTCTGTGAAGGAGGCACGAGAAGTGCAAGGGAAGTTGCAAAGGGAGATAGTGGAGTTTCTCAAGACTGGCGACTCCCTTGGGCGGAGTTAATCGTCCTCAACTACAATCCCAAGAACTTCAACCTGAGAGCTCGTACGTCACATTGGGAGCCTTCCAACATGGTGGGGTAGTTGGTGTCACCAATGCAACGAAGGACCACCAGAGCTTGGCGAAGAAGGTGTGCGAGTTAGTTACCCTGGCCTTTCCTGAAGAGGTGTTCTCCTCTGTGACGATTGTTCGTGATACTTGTATGCCTGTTCACCGAGATTGCTTCAATGATCGCAAAACCTATAACCTGGTTATCCCCTTGGATGTGACGGGTGATGCAGCGGTTTGGGAGGAGCTTTGTCCTGGTGATCAATTTCTGGGAAGCTATGAAACCAGGTGGCATAAGGGTCGCGAAGTACCAGGTCAAGTTCACAGCCTAAAGGGAAATGTCAAGGTCAGACCTCATCGGCTCCATTGTGCAGTACAACCAAGTGAAGGACCGAGGCTTCTTTTAGCTGCGCACACCGTTGGTGGATGGAAAAAGCTTAAGGAGGAAGAGCTTCAGGAACTGATAGAAATGGGCTTCCAGATCCTCGGTGTTGAGGAGTACATCATGAAGCGAGCTGAAGTACAAGAACACCGGGAGGCTTTGCATTTACCGTGGGTGATTGAAGACGAAGATGTAGTTCACAACTTTAGTGGAAAAGACTCCCCAGCCGAAGTAGATGAGGATGTGGTTCGATGCGCAAAGGCGGCTGCAGACAACCTCTACACCTATGGCATTGAGGAGATCTTAGAATCACTACAAGATGAACTACGTGTTGTTCATACAGTCCACCCTCGTGAAGTAGATCAGCACCTTCCCAGTTGGATTCCAGCCCTGAAGGCCGAGATGAGTACTCTCGAGGACATTGGCGCCATCAAGAGATTGGTAGGGCAGGCTGCGAAGGACTACTTGAACTTACCAGGAGTTCAGGTGGTGCCGGGGAAGGCCGTCTACACGGTGAAGCCCCCAAACAAACCGGGCTCCAATTATCGTCGCAAAGCCCGTATTGTGGGCTGTGGAAACTTCCAGGCGAAGGACGACTCGGAGCAGAACTACTCCGGCGGAGCTGCTGCGGAGGCGGTGAGACTTGGTGTTGCCCAAGCGGCAAGGCGAATATGGGCCATTTGCACAGGAGATGTGGTGAGCGCCTTTTTACGGGCGCCTGTGCCGCAGGGCACGCGATTGGCGTTGAGGCCACCAGCAGTTCTTGTGCGCGCTGGATTAGCTGACCCCAGCGAGTTGTGGTCAGTGCATATGGCACTATATGGATTTAGAAGTAGTCCTCGCTGGTGGGGCTGTCACAGGACAGGCATTATGAAGCAGGCGGTCACACCGGGCGGCTTGACCTTCCACCAAGGAGTTGCAGACTCTGAGGTCTGGCAGGTGCGAAATGGAGAAGGGGCCGTTCTCGGCCTTGTCATAATCTACGTGGATGATTTCTTCATTGCTGCGCCGAAGGAGATCTGCGAGGACATTTACAAGTGGTTGGCGGATACGTGGGAAACTACGCCCATTCAATATGCCTCCTCTACCTCACCAATCCGTTTCCTTGGAATGGAAGTGCGAGAAGCTCGAACTGAGTCCGGGGAGTTTGAAGGGTACACCTTGGACCAAGAGGGCTATCTTCAAGAAGTACTACGACACCGGAACGTGAAACCCGAGGAGAAGTCGTTGCTCCCGGCCACGAAGGAAACCCTTACGTTATCGGCTGATCAGGATCCACCTACGTTTAGGCCGGAGGACCTCAAGCTGGCGCAATCCCTTACAGGCGAACTCGCCTGGATGGCCCAGCGTTGTAGACCGGATCTAGCATATGTGGTGAGCATTATGGCGAGCTTGACTACCCGAGACCCAGTGCGGGTTGCTGCAATAGGCCGAAAGGCCTTGGCCTACCTAAACCATACGAGCTCGTGGAGACTGAGGTTTTGGACCGGTGGAAGCCCTACGTTGGTGACCTACACGGACTCTTCCTATGCTCCGGACGGAGACCGGAGTCATGGAGGCGCCGTTACGTTTTGGGGAACATGTCCTATCGCGTGGAGGAGTTCGCGCCAACAGTTGGTCACTACGAGTTCCGCGGAGACGGAATTAGTGGCAGCTCATCATGGGTGCCAACAGATGGAGTCAATAGATGCTCTTCTCACGGATATGGGCGAGACTCCGGAACAGCGGGTGATCTACGTGGATAATGCTGCAGCGATAACACTGGCGACTTCCGAAGGTGGGAGTTGGAAGACACGTCATTTGAAAGTGAGACATCGAGCTCTACGCCAGAAGGTTGAACAAGGCTGGGTCGAGGTTGTGTACTGCCCGGGCGATCAACAGCTGGCGGATGGACTCACGAAGCTACTGGCGTCGCAAAGAATGAACCAGATGATGTTGTTTTGGGGATTGTCGGCAGCTGGAGATCATGTTCGCCTACGGCAAGTTCAAGCTTCAGCAGAACAACAGAACCCAGAGCAACAAAGGACCGAGCAACGGACACTGGAGCAGCGCCAGCCAGCAGAACACACACCGACACCCACAGCACCACATCCGAATCCCGAAGGCCTGGGTTGTTGTTTGGGACTTATTGTTATTCTCCTAAACTTAGCTAAGGCTAGTGGTGAGGTTACTAACCCGGAAGCCCCAACTGCTCTGGCTGTGGATTCGTCCTTGGAGCTGTACGGCGTGGTGTTGATGCTGGGAATATGCTTTATTGCTTTATGGGAATGTGGAAGAGTGTGCTGGCGAAACCGCGGTGAGGCGATGCGCTTGAGGTCTCTTCAAGAATCCCAAAAGCTGTCCAAGAAGGAGATGCGCGAATTGAATGGTCTACTGAGGCGGAATCCCGCCCAACTGCAAGGACATGAGAAAGAACGGATGATCCAGTTGGCTGAGGCAACCGGAGTTGATCTTTCAGGAATCCTTGCTGGAACCGAAGGGCCACAGTTCGCTACTCCAAGTACTGTTCTAGGTGGAGGTGAGGTACCCCCACCGCCACCAAGCCCCTTCAGTGCTTGTGCGGCAGACGAAGAATTCCTGAGGAATAGAAGAGGGGAACGGCGTTCTCAACCGTCGCCTCCGCCTCCACCACCTACCTACGAGGACATCGTTGAGGAAGACGAGCGGGCAAGGAGGACTACGTCGACCTTCTACCCCGCTCCGGAGCAGGTGTCAGCTGAAACCAGGACCTACAAGTCACGATCGGTTGGAACTCAGGTCCAGATGCTGAAGGAGATGCCAAAAGTAGTGTTCGTAACTCCCTCTGGAACGTGTGTGCATGCTACGAGAGATTGCAGCACATTGAATCGATCGACGAAGTTCATACAGAAGGAGGTGTGTGCTAAGTGCATACCAGGGCAAAAGGAGGTCACGGAAAGGCCAATGTAAATGGCAGTGACCTAACGCCCATGCCAAGGAGGGGTGTTGATGACCCTGACCCCCTTTTCATGTATAGTGTGCATGAGTGGAGCTTGTGCAAGTGAGGGTCTACTTGTTTGCAGCGGATGGCTTCAGAAAGGTTGGAGCCATGATCGGCAGAAGCCAACGGCGACATGCCATGATCGGTAGAAGCCAGCGGCAACGTGCCATGATCGGCAGAAGCCACATACCACGAGCTTAGGCTATCGTCATGCTGTGCACAGAAGCGCATGTCGACTTTGTGGTTTGCAGTAAAAAGAATTCGGATCGCGTGCGCCATGGTTCGTTGAGCCTACTCCTGTGTGAAACACGTTTCTGAGATCTAGACGACGAAGTCCCGTAAGGGGAAGTTTGTATTCACAGATTTCGGGATTCGGCATTTTGGTGTTCATGCTTACTTGGAGCAGCGAGCCGGATCTCGCCTCTCTGAGCGGATTTGGGCATGGGGATGTGGCCTTCGGGGCCTTATAACAGGGACCCTACTACTCAGGGTACTATATTTGAATCCCCCATTTTCGGAAACTCCCACATTAAGGGGCCCTAAGACAGCTGGCCCCATGGAGTGCGAAACCTCTGCATCTGTAGCAGGCTCCTGGTTACCTGGAGCAGCACCGGGCTGAGGCGGCTTGAGGTTTGAAGCGACCGGGTGAAGTATGCTGTAGGCATAGAGCAGAGTGCAATAGTACAGTACAGCAGCGTAGGATCACGTGGAAGACATGCTATATGAGCCACATTACGTGTCTTCCTGTTTGGTGCCTGCACTGCAACTTGCTGGACGTTGAGCTCAAAAGAACACAGTCGCTGAGGAAGAAGACTCCCTCGCTTGCGACAGCGGCGAGCACTTTCGGCTGCTGGAGCCATTGCGTGGAGTGGGGGCCTCGAGTTTTTAGATGATGTAGGGCAAACGGTTCCAATATGTACGCAGCTCTTCCGCAATCCACCTGCTTTTGTTCAATACATGGGCGTACATGCCAAACACGGCTTTGCAAGTAGTGGGACCTGAGTAGAGGTGCTGCTTAGTGTAGTCGGTGATACACATCCAGGGTTGGTGGTACGAATTGCGGTCTTCCTCTGCAGCATGTATAAGAAAGAACGACATGTGTCACATGTATATACATATAAGCATATAGATGTATATACATATATATGTGTATATACATATATATATATATATATGTATATATGTATATATATATATGAGTAGATGTCGAGCCGCCTCCTGTTTAGCCCTGATTTTATGACTTTCCTGTCATTATCTGTACTTGTATATATGTGTATACACACCACAGAGGTTCAGACATGTATGGAACATGCAGTTAGCTGTACTCACACAGAGCTAGCTACCTGGCCTTTCCGAGCGACGGGTTCTCCGTTGGATCGGCCGTTGGCATGCAGAGTTGCGTTGAATACTGATGCCGGTTTATTTTCCAGAAGACGAAGTAACCGGTAGCAGGCAAGGTGCGGCGGGTTCTGGTTCAGGGTTCTTGTTGGCATTGAAGAAACCGGTCTCGGGTCCATCTTTTGCAGGAGACGGGCAACACATCCCAAAATCTTCCAAACTCTATTGTACCCGACCTGAAAGCCGTAGAGATCCCGGAACACCTGGACCTAAACCCGACCATTAGATATGGTAAACCAGAGTCCAGAGCCTTTTGAGGTGGCCTCAGAGGAGATCTGCAGTTGGTGGTGCCCTCAGGTTGCGGGTAACATAGGGGGTTGAATAGTTATCCCCAATACTAATACCAACAGTGGGAATGAGAGAGCTGTGAGCACAAATATGACGACGATCAAAAAATGTAGCAGTAGCCTTAATTAGTTACTGATCGTTATAACAACAATCTCTGTAATGGAATCATCATCAGCTTCAGTATTTTCATCGTTTAATCCGTGGACACAATGTCTTTTGGCACGATCTTGTTGCCATGTTCGCGACGAAGGTGTGGTGCGCCCGGCTGGCTTGTTTTTGGTGCAATGATACTGGAGCATGAGGTGTGCCCGGCATTGTCATCTTCATGTGTCCCTGGGTGGTTGCAAACTGCGTTCCTGCTCAAGCTATGAAACCCTTTGTGGTCATCACGGAAGAGATTGGTTACGTTTATTGGCGATTGTGCTCGGCTTTTTCAATAGCGGCCATGCTCTTGTCTTGAACGTTTGGGGTCCGGGACCTTTATCTGTGTTCGAGCACGGGCTTTCGCGGAAGACTGGCAGACACTGTGCCCCTAAAGGTGTGGAAATGACCAAGTTCGCCGCTGTAGACAATGGCACAAGTTTGCTTGCAGCCGAGATGGACGCCCACGAAGTCTGTAGTTCGGGGCACGAACACGTTACCGACCTGATACACACGTTTGACGACGACACCTGTTCTTACTTTGTTGTGGACTTCGCCATGTTCATCACTTGGGATTTTTTGTAAAGCAAGTGGCAATGGACATTCTGTCCGACATGTGTTGTGGCTTAAGCCAGATGCATGATCAAGCTTCGCTCCATCGAGACGTGAAGCCAGAAGAAGGCCCCCATCCAGTGCCGCTTCTTATCACGCGGGCCAACTCTTTCAACATGGACCTGGGACTATTTGCTACAGCGCGCCCAGAAGGCTCTCAGGCCATGCTTACGAGGCCCCTTATCCTAACTTGTGGTGTGCTGGTTGCTGTTTTTATCAGTGCTTGGCCGAGACGTTTTGACTCAAAAGGCCGCGGCCGCTTGACTGCAAAAACAAGCCCAAATCAGCAAGCTATCCCGTGCCCAGCCGAGCGGGTCAAGGTCAGCCAAAGGTTGCTTGCAAAATTTCAGTGTCGTTGACCCAACAGCTCGGCTCACCAGCAAGTGCCGCACTGACGTATGCATGCAGCAGAAACGCATGCGCCTGTGACAATCTAGCTAGCTTCGTCTTCTCTGAGCCAGTGTGCGTGCCAGCATGTCTTGCCTGCATGCTCTTTCAAAAAGGGAGTCAACCACCGTCGCCAAGTTCAGCCTCGCGACAAAGCGATGGACGAACCCAGAAGATATTGAAAGCAAAGTACAAAACTGAAAGACAAATAATGAGTTATATTAATATTAATCGTAATAGGTATCTACTTCTTTGGACTTTACTTTGGTGGTGATTAAGAACGACGATTGCAATGAGGGTTTTTCTTGCAAATGCCACGAGCATGTTGAGACCGCTTTTTCTGGCTGGGCTTGCGAAAGCCAACCGAGGCAGCCGATCGAGGGTGCATCCTTCCTCCCAGGTTATGCTGGAGGCAGGCAGACCGGAAGTGCAAGCGAGATAGTTGAAACTGTAAGGTCGACGCTGACATGACTTGCAGTGCAGCTGCAGCTTTGATTATCCGTTTCCGGAGGCATTCGTGCCAGTATGGAGTGGATTACAATCACAGCCACTCTTCATATTTGTCGAGGAACATGCGCATGATGTGGCAATGTGGTCTGTATGACTGCAGTTCTGGGGCGAAGTCGCTCTGACTACATGCTGACAAATTGGAATTGCGAAGCTGCTGATCCTGAAAGTTTCTGCTCCAGGCATCCCAGTTGCTGCTGGCTCCCTCGCGACGGCCAAGGCTGCGTAGTGCTGTATGCCACCACTTGAGCAGGTGTTACAGGTCAGATACTCAGCCCCATCCTGCACCGAACTTCAACGTCGACGGACCGCTCAACCGTAAAGAATATCTTAATCGTAAAACCCCAAGTTTGACCCTGCCGGAATTGCATCAAGAATCTCAGACCCACTCCCAGTGCCCTCAACCCTACAATCCGAGCCCTACTGAAGAGCCTTAAAGCCCTAAGCCCGACACGTCCCACGCCTAGTTCTCCTCAACATCTCCGTCCAACTCGATCAACGAATCCAACGAGTCAACTAGGCTTCTGTCCGATGCCGCGGTCGCCGAATACTTGACACACACTGCACAGCGTGATTTTTTCTTGGCCGCACCGTCTATTTTCATTGCCCTGAGACGGTGTGCCGTTCGGGTTCGGCCCGTCATTCCCAGCAGCACACGCCCAAGGGTGTTTTCTCGGGAGGCCGTGTGGGTCGGGAAGACTTGCCGACCTTGTTTTGAAACAGGGTTTGAGGGTATGTGAGATCATACCACATGTGTAGCAGGCTCTGTCTGGACACATATGCACATCCGCACAGGCAAGCTTTATTAGGTGTTGGTTTTAAGCTCAACTTAGGGATTTGGATGGGGAGCTCAGGGTTTGGAGTTTTGAAGTTCGAGTTGAGTCCGGGTTCAGAGTGCGGCCCAGGGTTTGTGGGCGTGGGCACCGGTAGGCACACTGCATGGCGCTTGGCCCTGAGCTCAGTGGCCCTGTCATGTCGGGCTTCGGGTGCAGGATGTAGCGCGCAGCGATCCGAGCGCGGCCCCCTCAAGTTTGGGGCCTTCATAATTTGAAGAGGGTTTTGGGTATATCATTCTTGATATTTCTTATTAGTATTATTGTTATCGTATCATTAGTATACTATTACATTGGAATTATTTCAGGACGGTTTTAATCGCTGTGCAGGATGTCTTGTGACTCGGGTTGAAGAATATGTTGCTCAGGTAGGTTAGGTCTTATCGGGCGGAGTCTGCAAGGGGAAGCCTGCGGGCCCCAAACTCAACTGTACCTAAACCCTAAACCCTAAACTGAAGCCGTCAAGCTGAACCCAAAAGCCTTCGACACCACAGGCGGACGCACCAAGCGTGAGTCCGAAGTTGAGAATCCCCAGCCGTTTCAGTCCGAAGCTTCGACCCTGCAAACTAAGACTCCCCCGCAGGCCTTAACCCTGGTACTTCGGTTGATGATATGAATCCTGCATTACCTTAAGGACCCTAAGCTATGGGAATTATGGTATATTCCTTATTATGGGTCATGCAGGATTTGTATCATCAACCGTTCGAGTCCGGAGACTTGACACCCGACGCTCCCATGCAGAACACAGGAACATGTCGTTCAACCACGTATCCATCGTTTGCTACTGCTAGAAGCCCAACTTTCATGAGCATCTTGGGCACATTTCCAAGATATCCTGTTCTGCTTAGTCAAGCTTAAACCCGAAACCTTAAACCCTAAACTCTAAACCCCAAACCCAAAACCTGAAACCCTAAACCTAAACCCGAAACCTTAAACCCTAAACTCTAAACCTCAATCCCCAAACCCCAAACCTTAAGCCCTAAACCTAAACTCGAAACCTTAAACCCTAAACTCTAAACCCCAAACCCAAAACCTTCAACCCTAATCCTTAAACCAAACTCTATCAACAAGCTCCGAGTCAGCTCAGGTTCGAACTGCTCCGGGATCACTTGGCAGCCTTGCAGGCGGAGTCGCACCGTCACTTATTAGTAACAAGAATAATGATACGGTTGATGATACAAAACCTGCATGACCTTGAGGACTCTGCACTATGGGAATCATGGCATATTCCTTATTATGGGTAGTGTAGGATTTTTTTTATCATCAACCGTAGTACACATAATAGGAAGGAGAGTAATAATAATGACAGTAATGACACTAGTGATAGTAATGATGATCATGAGAGTCATGACAATTGATAATAATCGTAAAGTTGGTAATGAGAATACGTACTGATAATCATGATAATATTGATAAGAATGATAGTCATGGTAATAGTGTTATTGATGATAACAATGAGAATGAACATGAACGACAGCATTCCAACATTCTGTGCTCCCCATAAGATGAAGAATCGGATTGCCGTGTACTTTCGGAAATGTAGGGTACCTGATTGTGCCCTCACGTCACCAGTGTTCAGTCTCTTGTGTTTCGTAAAACTGCCAGTGTTCAATCTTATTGCTGCAGCTTCAGCTGCTATCATGAGTGATACCTCTGCTTGTGTTCTTTCTGCTCCTGCTGCTGCATTGTCACATTAGTGGCAGTAGTGTTGAGCAGTAGTAGGGGTAGGAGGAGCTGTAGGAGCAGTAGAAGTTGTAGGAGTAGCAGAAGCACCAGGAGTAGTAGGGGTAGTAGAAGTAGGAGAAGGAGGAGTGGTAGTCGTCGTAGTGGTAGTGGTAGTAAAGCCACGGCTAGTACTCTTACCACCACTACTACTACGACGACAACGACGACGAGTTGCTACTGGCAGCAGTGATCGTCGTTGGCGTCGTCCTAATCGTAGCACTTTTTGCCGTTCGATGAACAGTCGTGCTTGCTAGTGGAATGCCGGAGGCATTAAAGGCGGAATGCCGCTGGCATGAGGAACATGGACTAAAGCCTTTTACTGTATGGCCGAATCGGTTTCACAGGTTCGTCAGGCCATATGACCAGTATTGAGACGTAATCAATGCAAAGCTTGATGGGTGATCGTCTTTTCTTGCTTCTTTCCGAACGAAAGGCCGACACCATACCTTGCCCTGCATTCTACCGCCAAAACATTGGGTTTCGTGCTCTTGGGAATAGAAGCATGAGCCGTGCAGATCTGCCCAAGGCCAACATGACAGTGCGTTCTTGGAATGATGCCTTGACAGACCCCTGAACCTTTTGGAAAACCCCAAACCCGAAGGAATGAGTTCTGTCGATTGTTTCAGGCTGGTGCTGAAAGGTACAGTAGGCTCATTTCACAAGAAGATCAGATGCCCGCACTTCGAAAGCCGCAAACCCCCATGGCCCCAAAATAGATGCAAACCTAAATCAGGTGGAACAGCATCATGCTCTACTCCTTGCGACAGGAGGCCGCTTCTGTGGCACTCCTGTCCATGCTTTGTGGTGAAGGCTTTGACCATTTAGGGTCTGAGTTAAAGGGTGCCCGGGGAGGAGCAAGAAGCAGCAGCAGCAACAGGAAGGGCAGGATGCAGACGAGAGACGCAGAGATTGTCGTGGGCGTAGTAGCATCCCTTGTTTCATGGCCATATGCCCGAAAACCCCAATGTCGCTGGACCGAAGCAGGGAATTGGAGTAGGACAGGTATGCAGACTGAGGCTCCGTGGACTGTGCTGCCATGGCCTTGGCGTTGTGTGGGTGGAGCCTCAACTCCATGCCACCACCCGAGAAGCCAACGGAGGTTATCGGAGATGAGGATCTACTACCGGCATTCCCGATTGACGAGCATCTGCATGTGCAGTCTCATTTGAGCGATGGAGGCGAGCCCCTTTTGCTGGATGGAGGCGCAACATGCCGACGAGCTCGCGTGGATAGCGGGGACTGTGGGGTGCCCTCGTTGGAAACTCGACAGTCCTACTTCTCCAGCAGCATGCCGACAAAGGCCGAGCCCCCTGCGCCCCCCAACCGGATCTTGCACAACCGCCACAAAGATCTTGTCGAGAAGATGATGAAGGACGTCTTACCCTTCCTCTACTGCATTTCCTCTGGTAGCAAGTAGGGAAGCATGTCACAGTGCACAAGTGCTTTCCGCATATGTATCGTGATTGACCTCCCAGCGCCATGTAAATGGTGGTCAGGGCCAGCGGGACAGCCAAGTGGGTAACCCTTCACCGTTTCATTGTCCTGAGTTTGCGCGTGCGTGTGTGTGTAATCTATTAATCTATTGTTTGTATAGACACACACACACACATATGCACACACATGTTTGTACTTCTGTTGGTAGCGGCGTATACTTGTATGTGTACTTTTGTTTGCGTGTGTTCGTACTAATGTAGTTATGTCATGTTCCATTTCTGTATTCAGAATATTCATATTTCTGTGTATAGGTATAGGTATATCTTAGTATGCACAGTAAGGGTTGATATGACATTACAAACCATATATGTTTATGGGTGTACGTGTATATACATATATATATATATATATATGTATATGTATATGTGCGCACAATATGTATATCTACTCTTATACTCTTATATATATATATGTGTATATACATATATACATATATATATATATATATGTAAAGACACAGACACACGTACACACTCGCATATATATATATATATATGTGTGTGTGCATCTGTTTATATGTTTTGCACACTCGTGCAATCCTCCCTCTGGACTGATGTAACTCTCGAGAATTTCAGTCGAATCATTCAGAGGTGTAGGACTTTAAGAGGATTTAGGCTTTACCTCTGGCCTTAAACAAAACTTCACACATATGGGGTTTATGGCTTGGCCCCAGTGCCATTCCAATGCATTCGCTAGCACTTTACTGCAGGTACACAGAGCTGGCCAAGCTCTGCTTCCCATGAGATCAGGTAGCTTCATTGGACGTGGTCCCTGATCTCATGCCACGTCCCCCTGCAAAAAAAATGCATGTCAGCAAACCTTGGCAAACAGGTGTTCCACACACACACCCCGACAAGCGGGGTAGCCTTTGATGGCATCACATTGTTGACAGACATCAGTGCACATTTTACACTAACGGCCTCTCCGTGTTGTATAGCACAGAACAAGGGTGGTTGAGAGTCCCATTGGTGGGTACACACCCTTACATACTGTTAAAGAAGATGGCCAGCATAGATGCTAGCAAGATCGAATTAAGCATGCAAAAATGACTTTCACGGAGAAGTGCTCCTCTTTCTTTTCCGAGGAGACTCAGAGCAATCAGTGCGATTGGAGGGAGCATTGGTAGTCTCAGGCAGGTGTGGGCTTGAGCTCCACAAACTGTCCGCAGTAAGGCGAGTTTGGATCCACTGCTGTGTGGCGGGGAACCACGTTTTCCACCAACGGTCTTGACCATCAGCTGCCGTGCTTTTAGACCAGTAGAAACGCCACGAAATCTGCGGAGAACGAGATCTGCTCCGTTCCGACATGATGGACTCACTAATCTCCACTGAAAGCCGCAAACTACAGACATACTTCAGCAATATGCAAGGCATCAAAAATAAGGGGCAATTGGAGACTGCGATGCTGTTTTGGCTTCGCCTCGCATCTGCTCAGAACCGGCTTCACTGTTTGGTGGGCCCGAACTCATCCTGGATGAGTTTGACAGGGCAAAGATGCTTCAAAACATAGTGGCAGGAGCACCTGTAGCCACTGCGGGCTTGCATCTTGGCAGCTGCTTTGCCACGAAACTGGTAAGGTTGTGGCACATCGACAAGTGGCTTGATAGACCCCGGCAGGGGGTACATAACTTCCGAAATGGGATCGAAAAAGTTCGGAGCATCTGAAGTCCTTGATGGCTTCGCGGTAGAAGACTTGGAAGTCTTTTTGGACTTCTTCTTCTTTTTCTTTTTCTTTGTCTTCTTTGTACTGTCATCGTCCTTAGGACGATTCTTGCCCCTTTTGGAAATCGGTTGAGATGTTGCATCAAAAGCAGAATGCCACGACGAATCCGACGAAACTGGTGACGGCTGCCGATGTTCAGTGGCTTGATCCATGGCTACCAGAAAAGGAGGGCAGCATAAGAGCCAAAAATTCTCACACCAGATGATCTATCCTGACGTAGCTTTGCATGTGTAGGGTATTGCAACATTGAGCAAGGCACCCACACACATTGCACAATCTTTTTCTGCTGTACGAATTAAATCGGCTTGCTTAAGCAGCTGAAAAAGCTGCGGCTGCTGCCATGAGGTTCTCTTCCTCAGGATCATCTACATCAGGCAGCTCTATCTTAGGGGTTGCAGGTTTACCCCATGGGCCCCAGCTGTCGTCTGGAAGGCCATCGGCCAGAGCCAAAGTAGGCTCATTATCGACAGCTTTGAGCCTAGTTCTACGGCGTTGTCTGCTCTCTTGCTGAGGGTAGTCAGCTTTGCTTCGTTCTGAAAGAACAAAGATAAAATCGATGCGAGCCGCCGCGAACCGAATTGCCCACCGTCTGTCCGAAGAACAGCTGTGGACCAAAGCATGAAATCTCGCCAGATTGTTCTCATATCTGGTGCATGCATTCTTGCCCTTAGCATGGCTACTGGGCAATAAGCCTGCAAATACCACTCCAGAACAATTCTTAGTTGAGTGGTAGCACTTGCAGGCAAGCTGTACAACTCCTGCACCCCAATTGGGGTTCGTTGTGCTTCTGCCGTAGAAGGAAAACGTATCTTCTTGAGGTTCGAGGCCGGCTACACTGTGATCCGTAGGGAGGATCCTGCCCGTAGCCAAAATTCCTGTGACCCCTTCTCTGGTAGTGGCATGTGCCCAGAGATGCCAGTTTTGCTGGGCCAGGGGTGGGCCGGGAAAACCTGTACACCTGAAACGGTATCCAACTACATTCTCTTCCACATCATGAAAAAGTGAGGCACCTTCTTCGAAGTGTCTCTCATAATGAAGTCTGGACTGCAAAATGCAGTCAACGAAACCGAAAAATTCTTCCTGGCCTATGGTGTTCGATGGCACCTGCTCTGGAAACAAACTGAGCAAAAACCGAGCACATCTTTGTCTCTCAGGGTCTTTGAGAGACGAGAAAGGGCGCTGGTACTTGCGAACCAGTGCCGCTCTGGCTGCATTGCTTCGCAGTGCTTGCCAGGGTGCCATAACCCACTGTTCCGGAAACGGCGCAGTCAGAATTTGCTGACGATAAAAGAGGTACTGGCTCAGGGTGGTCATACCACCTGGAATATGATCCACTGCTGAAAATCCTGACAGCTGGATTTCCAGCTGATCCTCCACATCATTGATATTGGCAGACATGAGGCCCCGATAAAATTGATCATCAATCTGTTGCTGGCTTTCCGTTGGAGCCAGCTGGTTGGAAGTCGATGGCCCTTTCTTTGAGGGCTTGGTCTGCTTACCATGGTCCGGGAGATCAGCTGCTGGGGCTTTGGCTTGTGGCCCCACCGGTTCCGGTGCTTTATTGGACCTGGCCAGCCTCGGCGGTGTGTGAGGCACGGCTGGTCGCCGTGAATCCGGAGCCGCAAAAGGTGGAGTAGAAGGAGGCGGCAACGGCGGCGGTGGTGGGAACCAACATGCAGAAACATTTCCCGGGGGAGCATGATGTGGAGGCGGTGGTGCAGTATGTGGCAGCAGAGCTGGCCTCGGTGGGAACCCAAGGCGCTGGTGCTCGCCAATTGCCCGGTGGATACATTGGCTCTTCTCTCCTCGGCCGGTTCCTACGAGATGTTCGGCTTCGCCGATGCCTCTTGGATCTTCCTCGGGACCTTTCTTCACGACGCCGAGAGGGTGATCTGGAAGAGTATCGTCCACGATTCGACCGGGCTGGCCTTGGCCGTGGATGAGGATGTAGCTCTTCCACCGGAGCCGGCAATGACAAAACAGGCGCTGAAGGGCTGGTTCCTTTGGATCCTCCCTTATTCAAGGTGTCACCACAGAAGAATTGAAACACATAGGAAGCCATGGCAGGGGCACAGAGGATGCCAACTACAAGAGCTTCCACGATCCAAGCTCACCGTAATGGAAATTGATGCCACTGCACACCGATACGAAAACCCACAGTGAGCATCAAAGTCAGAATTTTGACACTTCAGGTCAGCAGTTCTGCAGGGAAACCCTTAGCTATGTACAATTCGCGGAGTCCCTGCAGTTGATGTTTGCGGCTGCTCGGAGGCCATGCATACTGTACAATCAAAGCTTTCCGAGAAAGATAACCTGAAATTCGGGTGGACCAGCTACCTGCAGATCTTGGATTTCTGATGGACCAGGCTTTGTCTGGTTGCAGGTAGGTCACTGTTCTGTTGGCCATGTTGAGCCGGAAGCCCAGAAATTGATGATTTGTAACCTCTTCCAGCTGGATAGTTCCTCCGTAAAAAGAGAGGTGTTGAAAATCCTTCATGCATTGATGCGACAGAAAATTCTCGTCGCACACAACGAGTCGGTTGTCAACATACCTACAGACAAACAGTTCCGATGCTTGGTTGTCAAAAAACCTAGCTGAACTCAGGAACTGATGCCATTCTCTTTGCCAACAGGATTCTCTTTGAATCACTGGAAGACTGCTGAGTACCGGGCTGATTTGATTGCCTATATGTTTTTGGAACCCCCTGATGCCCATGATATTTTATACATGCTCTTGATGCAGAGCTGCGTGTTTGAAGTATTAATTAACTTCTTCTGCGAACTAACTGTTTCTATCTATGCTACTCAGTACAGAAGCACATCACATGATGCACACGTACGTGTTGTGCTGTGCGTTTGAAGAGTAGCTGTAGGTGTAGGTGAAGGGCACTGGCCCGAAACAAGAACGAAGTCAAGACCTCGTAAAAAGAAAGCGAAGAGGCTACGGGGCAGCCATGTAAAGGGCTAGTGCAAGGAGTTTCACGACACGTTCGCATGCATGTTTTTGCAGTTGACATATGCTTGTCTCAAAGATGCCAAGCATGTCGGAGAAGCCATTTACACGACGAAACCGCGAATGGCTCAAGTACGAGAAAAGGCCGTGGGCCGAGTGAGGGGTTTTTGGTTCGTTGAGGGTTTGTTCAGGGTGTCCCGTCGGTTCAGGTGCGCAGCTTGTGCAGTGCTCTTGTAAACACCTTCGGT